CATAGACAAGTAAATGGAAACTGCTAAAATTCTCAAGATAAGTGTGAGTGCCGAGGATGGCTCTTTCGTAGGAAGACGGAGGTGGATCCTCGGTAGTGTATTGAAGTGGTGAGTAGTGGACTCGTGTGCGCAAAACCATTTCAAGTTGAAGTATCGTAGGATAGTCTAGCCAAGAGTCAAAGCTGGCTTGCTGCAATAACTCCACCAACCCTTCTTGATAATATGCATGTATGTAGGATCTGATGTAAGTCTTGCTGAGTACCTTTGTACTCATGTTGCTATAATTTACATTTTACAGAAGACGCTGCAACCCCTTCTGATGGGTTCTATGTAGACATTGACATCAACGAGTAGGCTAAAGTCCCAGGTGGTGATCCTGAGCTTGTGAAGGACCACGTAGTATAGCCAGGCTTTCCAAGCCTCTTTTATTTTACTAGTTGTCTGTACTCAGACAAGTTACTTCCGCTGCTGGTTTGTATGACTGTATGACTTGGATGCTGGGTCGTGTGACCCGTACCTTGTGTATGTTATGTGTGGCTCTCTGAGCCTTAAATAAAGTACTTGTGTCGTAGAGTCATGTTGTGATGCTTCGTTGTATTTGCACATATCGAGCATATTGTGTGTATGATTGAAATGCTTGGTATGTGTGGGATCTGACTACCTAGTTGTTTATCTTTAGTAGCCTCTCTTACCGGGAAATGTCTCCTAGTGTTACCGCTGAGCCATGGTAGCTTGCTACTGCTCTGGAACACTTAGGCTGGCCGGCATGTGTCCTTCTTTGTTCCTGTGTCTGTCCCTTCGGGGAAATGTCACGCTTTGAGTACCGGAGTCCTGTTAGCCCGCTACAGCCTGGTTTACCGGAGTCCTGCTAGCCCAGTGCTACAGCCCGGACCCACTTGCTGATGACCGACACGTTCGAAGCTGGGTCATGGATGCCTGTCCCTGTAAGTCTGTGCCACTTTGGGTTTACGACTAGTCATGTCAGCCCGGGCTCCTTATCATATGGATGCTAGCGACACTATCATATATGTGAGCCAAAAGGCGCAAACGGTCCCGGGCAAAGGTAAGGCGACACCCGTGGGAATACCGTGCGTGAGGTCGCAAAGTGATATGAGGTGTTACCGGCTAGATCGATGTGACATCGAGTCGGGGTCTTGACATTTATCATGATATAAGGAAATGTAAATAACATCTTTATTATTGCCTCTAGGGCATATTTCCTTCAGTTTGAGTAGGGGATTACAGCGGGGTGCGAAAGAGTGGACCGCGTAAAAGAGATGATGATGGTGATGTTGATGAAGACGATCACCACGTGGATGATTCCCCGAATGGCACTCTGGTGCCACCAAGAGAGAGGGGGAGTGTTTCTCCCCTTTGTGCTTCCTCTTCCATGGCCTTCGCCGTAGATGGGGCAAGGTTCTTCCTCTGGTACTTGGCCTCCATGACGATGGTGACCCCTCCGGCTTCCTCCTCCATAGCCTCCGGTGATGTTGGCCCCCTCCGGCAGGGTGCTAGAGAGGGCCTAGTTTGGTTTTTCGTGTCTACAGAGACTCACGGCGGCGGAACTTCCGATCTCTCTTCTGTTCTGTTTTTTTAGGATTTATAGGAGGGGTTGGCGTCGGTTTCACGTCAGGGGGCCCCACGAGGCGATGGCAAGGACTAAGGGCGTGCCCTAGGGGGGGTGCCCCCACCCTTGTGGTGGCCCTGGGACTCCTCTTCGGTATCTTTTCCTTCTAGTATTTTTTATATTTTCCAGAAAAATTCTCTGTTAATTTTCAGCTCGTTTCGAGAAATTTTATTTCTGCACAAAAACAACACCATGGTAGTTCTGCTGAAAACAACGTCAATCTGGGTTAGTTCTAATCAAATCATACCAAAATCATATGGAATTATTGTAAACATGGCATGAATACTTCATAAATTATAGATACGTCGGAGACGTATCAATGCCCTGCCCCCTACAAGAAGCCATACTACCGCAACACTAGGTTTGAAGAGGAGGAAGAAAGTGACAAAAATGAAGGAGAACAAACCCCAATAATTCAGAAGTGAAGAGGTGACATTACTGAGGTACAAAAGTGGCACATTTTGGACAAAAGAAAAATTATGGAAAGAAGCAGTGTAGGATGTTTTGCTTTTTGGTTAGGAAGTAGGATGGTTTGTAATGAAACCTGATGGTGGGATGTGGCTTTGGGTTTCACACAAACCATGCAAATGTAATGATACTTCCTTCCTATGTTGCACAACTTCAAGACCTTGTAATGTTGAACCCATCTATCCATCTTTGAGATCACTTTTAAATTCAATTACTAATAAGAGAAATGCCTTGCATATTACTATTTATTTATGCATTTGAGACTGCATATTACTGTTGATTTCTGCTGTCAATGCTATCAAAAGAAATTTTGCTAAAGTACAAAGAAACAAACAAAATGCTGCCAAATTTTACTTCCATTCCATTACCACAGTGCATGATCAAGATCTGGATACGTCAACAACCATTGAACACTGGATACATCATACCACCACATCACTTCTTAAAGCCTACATACACCAGTATTGCAATCAGTACAACAAATGCACCGAGAATACTCCTACAAAGAAAAATGAGCTCATTCGTCTTCTTCATTACATCTACATTGCATTTCTCCTACACATTCATCCTCTTTAGTACATCTTCAACAGTTCTTTGCATTTCTCATGCACATTCCTCTTCCACCTCTGTTTCTTCACTTGCAATGACACCATCCGAACCAAAACTGCTCAATCCACGGCTAAGGTACCCAACTCTGACTAGAAAATCCTCATAATTGTTTGGTCCATCTTCCCAGTAATAATGCTCGCAAGGATTTGGTGGAATCTGTGACAAATTGACTAAAAAATTAGCAAAAAAGGAACACACAAGAAACATCAAATCGAGGAAACAAAAAAAAGAGAAAATAAGCAAACTTACACGGTGACTGGGGCACTTGTAGAAAATCCCGTCAGGATTTGTTTCCAATTTACACGAGACGAATGGCACATCGAATATGACAACTAGGGCATGGTACCAACGGCAGCACACCCGCCGGTGCGGGCGATGAGAGGGGCGGCGAGAAAAGGGCTAATGCCGGAGGTGGAAGAGACGCTTGGACAACCTTCTTCCCGCGATGCTTCACGGCCGAAGAGCTAGCATTTGCGGACATGGCGGCGACGGCGACAATGGCAGAAAGGGAGAGGAGAGAGCAAGCAATAGACCTAGGGACGGGGGAATGCGAAAACCAGAAGCTCCAGGGGCCGAATTGCAAAAAAGACCAAATGCCAGCCGCGGGAAATCTCCCGCCTGGGCCCGAGCGTCGACGTGACGGCTGTCAAAGCACCATGCAAGCTAGTCAGATGAAAGTAAGACCTCGGATGAACAACTTAGAAAGAATTAGGACCCAAATGTGCATTTTGAAAGAATTGAGACCCAATCCATACTTTCTGAAAAGAATTAGGACCGCACTTGCATTTTACTCGGATGAGACCGTGAGAGACAATACACTTATCACTTTGCTTTCTCCGCCAGCCACCTCCTCTGCAGCACGCACCACCCCCACCATGGCCTCGCCCCGTCGCCCCCTATCGCCACCACGGCCTCGCTCCGCCGGCCCTTATTCCCACCACAGCCTCGCCCCACCGCCTCCTGTCAGCACCGCGGCCTTGCTCGCCGCCAACCCCGCGGAGGTTGACTCTACCGCCACCATCTTACTGCCCGAGAGCAGATCGAGACGCGAGCCGATGGACACGATGCGGGAAGGGGCATCTCGTGGACCGTGCGTCAACGTGCCCGCCTTAATCATCGCCCCCGTGCTTGGCTCACACGCTCCGGGAAGGAGTTGGCAGCTTGCGTACGTGCTAGGTTGCTAAAGGTCCTAAAAAAATTCTCTCCTGTTTGAGCTCGACTCAAACCCAACAAAACGTGGGCCCCGCCACTGCCATTGATTGAATTGGCTATTGGATGCCCGGAAAATACGTGCGCCCCACCAACTTTTGCTCTTTCCGACCAAGCCGCACGTTCCTTTCGGACCGATCGGACCGCCTAACCCCAACCCCAACAAGCCACCCAAGCCCCTCCGCCGCCGCCGGCCGGCAACCCCAGCCCTTCCTTTCTGCCCCCTCCGCCGTAGCGGCTTTCTGGATTGCCACCGGCTTGGGCCTCACCTCTCTCTGCGCATCTACTAGTTCGTTTCGGCCTGACATTTTTTTTTTGTTCCTGCTAAGCCCTAGAATTGGTTGTCTGGATTGATTTCCTTATTTTCTCCTCACTTTTCAAGCTCGGTGAAACCCTCTTGTCCTTTGAGAGACGCTACGCCCGTTGTGATGTGCTTATGTGACTATTCAAGGGGATTTTGGGGCATATTTGCGGCCTCTTTTAGGCCTGAAGGGGGTTGGAAGGGTTTGCAGGGGAGAATGAATTAGAAATGCGGAATGCACATCTGTGCTGTGACTCTGCAACATAAATTTTGGAGCAGCAGGGCATTTTACCATGTTATTTTGTACAAAAATTACAGTGTCATGCATGCATTTGTAACAGTTTACAAACAACCATATGGGACATCAATATCACCTGTAGTGTTTTCTAATAATACGATCCCATGAATCTTCAATATGCGTTTTCCCCCTGAAAAAGGTTGCTGGAACATAATTACTGTTGTTTCATGTCCTATAACCACATCCTAGTAGTTTCCTTAATCAAATTGATCATTCTACTCCCTCTGTTCCTAAATATGAGTCTTTCTGGAGATCCCAATATAGACTACATACGGAGCAAAATGAATGAATCTACACTCTAAAATATGTATGTCTGTATACATCCGTATGTAGTTCATATTGAAATCTCTAGAAAGACTTATATTTAAGAACGGAGGGAGTAGTATATATTGCAGAAAGTTGTGTACCATTAGCTTTCTTGCAAATGCTTTTCTGTAACTCCTTGTTTTTCTATTGCAGCTTGCATATAATATAGTAGTACAGTAAATATGGCTACAAAAGTTCGCCCACCTTCTACTGACGCAGAAAAAATGGAGGTTGGAGAAATAGATACAAGAGCTCCTTTTGAATCTGTCAAAGCTGCAGTGAGCTTATTTGGTGAAGTAAGGTTTTCATCTGACAAATCAGCTGCGAGAAAGCCAAAGGCTCCTCAGGCAGAGGTAGTTACTTTGCAAGTTCAAATACTTAACATGCGCACATGCATGTTTGCCATGATTCACTCGCATAGCATGAATACTGAGGACACCTGCTTAACCCTTGACATCCTTATACAAGTATAATTTTGAAAAAGAAACGCATCGCGTGTTGTGAAAACTGCTAGCTCAAAATGTTGTGTCATAAATTTCATCACTGAGAAGTTCTAGATGTTTCTAATCTGTTGAAAGTATACGTGATTATTTTGGTACTGATCTTGCTTGTTTATCTCCTCTGAAATGTCTAATTATTTCCCATGCTGCATTTTGTTGTTGAGAAATTTACCCCCTTTCTAGTCAATTTAGTTTACAGCATGTTTCAGTGAGTAATATATGCTGTAATTTGGTACCCACTCAATGTTGTCACTTACATATGTTTTCCATTTATTTATTTTAATTGACGGTGACGGCGAGGGTGTCCTCCCATTTCGAATTGTCAGCCTTTACCTTATAGAAATAATGATTTTTTTAAGAATGTGGATTGTTTTTAAATTTACATCCTCGTGTTATGAGTCTTAAGATGATCCCTATGAATTGTAATCCGTGTCATGTTTTTCTATCTAGGCTACTTAATTTTGATTGAAATTCGTAGGATCCCTTTGTACTGTTCCATGCAAAAATTCCCATTCATACAAATGTCTTGTAAGAACTCTGCGTTCTCCCTACGGTGTATCAGACACCCTTACCTTATAGAAATAATGATTTTTTTTAAGAATGTGGATTGTTTTTAAATTTACATCCTCGTGTTATGAGTCTTAGGATGATCCCTATGAATTGTAATCCATGCCATGTTTTTCTATCTAGGCTACTTAATTTTGATTGTAATTCGTAGGATCCCTTTGTACTGTTCCATGCAAAAATTCCCATTCATACAAATGTCTTGTAAGAACTCTGCGTTCTCCCTGCGGTGTATCAGACACCCTTTGGTGCAAACCCTAGGATTTCCAATCCTTTATGGCCCAGGAAGACATGCCATTGCAATTATGGTTTTCATATTCCTCTATGGAATCTTTGAGATCAAAGATACCCTTAAATTTGCAATTTCCCTATCAGATCAATCTGCCTACGCATATGTACAACAGCAAAGCCTTTCAGTCCCAAACAAGTTGGGGTAAGCTACAGTTGAAAACCATAAGATACCAAAATCAAGTCATGGTTCTGGCATGTAGATAGTTAAGTTCCACAAACCCTTCCCATGGCTAAATCTTTGGTGATATTCCAGTCCTTCAGACATGACATGCAGATATTTCAACCAACCAAAATACAATACCGCATTTCAGTCCCAAACAAGTTGGGGTAAGCTAGAGTTGAAAGCCATAATATATCTAGACCAAGTAGCTAACTTCCACGCACCCCTGTCCATGGCTAAATCTTTGGTGATGTTCGAGTCCTTCAGACTTGACATGCATATATTTCAACCAATCAACATACCATACCCACCTTGCCTTGCAATGCAGCGGCCACACATGATAACATCTTTGTTTTGTTCCTGGTAGAATATCAAGTAGCCTAATATTCATGGTAGATAACTTTATCTTTGGCCAGAGAATTGTGTCATTTTATGTAATTAGTACCAGTGGGAACTGGAGTTACTGGACTAATATTTTAAATTGGTTTGATTTTTCCATTATTTTGTTTTGTTTAATCTTTGGGAATGGAGGAAAAAAAGACGACTTGTTAGAAATTGCAATTGAAATTTTGCTCAACTGTACTAGTTTTTGCAGAAGTGACATATAGGCAGATAGTCGAACATAATTTGCATGATGGAAATTTGTATCACATTTTCAAATAATCAACCAGCTTAACCGCCCACTAGCTCTACATTTCCTGGCCTAAACTTCTTGGGTCTTCTTTCCAGTTATTTCACCTCTTCGCCTTTTTCATGACTTCTGATATTACTTGTACTGTCAGTCAGGAACAGTGTATTGTCTTTGCCCCTACATATCTGGCTTCTGCAGTTCACATATTACTGATGCAATTACATCGCATAATTGGCATATCTCTTCCTTATTATTCATGCAACACAGTTCACTGGCTCTATTTGGTATCTGATTATCCGAATATACTCTGACTCTGTTTTTTGAAACATACTTTCAGCAGAAGGTGTTAGCTAAGGAGACCGAACTTCATTTGGCCCAGAAAGAGTTGAATAAATACAGGGAACAACTGAGTAATGCTGAAACAGCCAGACTACAGTCCCTCTCCGAGTTGGAGAAAGCTAGAAAAACTGTTGATGAGCTAACTACTAAGCTGGATGCAATCAATAAATCCAAAGAGATGGCTATTCAAGCCACGGAAGATACAAAGACTCGAACCAAGCAGCTTGAAGGAGGCAACCCGAAGGAAGCTGTTCGAAAAGATAGTCCCTTGAAGCAGGAACTGGACAGTGCAAGGCAACAGTATGCGGTTGCTCTGGCAGACCTCGATGCAGCCAAACAGGAGCTGAGGAAGCTCAAGAAGGATTTTGAAACCTCATTAGATATGAGGCTGTCTGCTGCCCAGAAGGAAGAGGAATCATTGCACTCGATAGAAGCCAACAAGGAAAAGGCTGCTCAACTTCGTAATGAGTCTAAAGCAATTCAGGAATCGCTTATGCACATGAAGGCAGCTACAGAACAATTACAGGAAGAAGAGTCGCAAGTCCTTGATGAGAAGGATGTTGCTAGGAATGCATATAAACAGGCTTTGGAAGAAGCTGAGAAGAAATTGTCATATTTGAGAAATGAATTTGATCCTGCTGCTTATAAAACCCTTAAAGAAAAGCTAGATGAGACCAACTCTGAGATTTCATCAATGCAGAAAAAGATCGAAGATGCCCGTGCTCTAGATTTAGAAACTGTTGCTGCTATCACCACAGAATTGGATGATGCGAAGGAAATGTTGCAGAAAGTAGCTGAAGAGGAAAGCACACTTCAGAACTTAGTAGAATCACTGAAGCTGGAGTTAGCAGCTGCAAAGCAGGACCACAGTCAACTCAAAGAGAAGGATACAGATACTGAATCCATTGTTGCAGATCTACATGTCAAGCTTCAGAAATGCAAATCTGAGCTTGAGGTAGCTGTTTGTGCTGAATCAGAAGCTGCAACAGCTTCTGATGACTTGATGCTAGCTCTTCAACAGCTGTCGTGTGAGTCTAAAACTGCCCTGCAAGAAGCTGAAATGATGCAGAAGAGTGCAGCAGAGTTAAGAATTGAAGCTGAAGCAGCACGTGTTGCGTTAACAGAAGCGGAGGAACGGTTGCAATCAGCTTTGAAAGAAGCAGAAGAAGCAAAAGCAGCTGAAGCGAAGGCCCTTGATCAGATTAAGCAACTATCAGACAGAGCAAGTGCTGTTCAAGCTTCAACTTCTGAACCCGGAGGAAAGGTCACAATCTCAAAAGCGGAGTTTGAATCTCTTAGCCGTAAGTTAAAGGAGTCAGAGAAGTTGAGTGAGATGAAAGTAGCTGCTGCCATGGCGCAAGTGGAAGCTGTTAGGGCCAGCGAGAATGAGGCAATACAGAAAATGAAAACTGCCCGGAGAGAGATGGAGGACATGGAATTAGCAACAGAGGAGGCACTGAAGAGGGCGGAGATGGCTGAAGCAGCAAAGAAGGCTGTAGAAGGTGAGCTTAAGAGGTGGCGTGAAAAGGAACAGAAGAAAGCTGCAGAGTCCGTGTCTTCTGCAGAAGCGCAAGCACACGCAACCACACTCTCATCTGTACACAAGGCTCCTGCTGGAAAACCCACCGAGAAGAATGATGGGCATCAAAGGAACAGCAGAATGCTGTTGAGGAAGGGCTTTGTGTTGCCAAACATCACAGGCATGTTTCATAAGAAGAAGGGCCATGTCGATGGCAGTTCTCCATGATACCTTCCTGGGGAAAAATCTGTATGATATCATCATGGCTTTTCATTCTCATTGATATTTTTGTGGTTCTAGTTCATGTTTCCACTTTGTACAATATAGATGGTTGCATGCCATACTTTATGTAATATATTTGTGGTTGCTTGTAGTATGTTCCTGACATATAACTGCATCCTATGTATGAATGTTTTATCTGTTTATTTTCTAACTCCTTTTCGGTCTCTGATAGGTACTACTAGTAGTTTTTCTGCTTCTCCAAAAAAGTAGTTTTTCTCCTTATATAAACATGATAGAACCACGTTTGATTTCATATAATATGTGTACAAAACCATTTGATTTCACATAATGTTATTTCGAATTTGAAGTTTATTTGAGTTTGGGAGATTATTTAAAATAATTTCCAATATCGTAATGAAAGAAAGGAGTGGACATAATATGACTTCTCCAAATAATAGTGTTGGATATGTTTTAAATAGGATCCATTGCATTTGGGTATTTCAAAACCATTTGTGATCTCACAAGCGTGATAAGCAACTCAAAACCAATCCACAACAACAACAAACATTTATGGTTATTTATAAAACCCTATATACTTATTTTAGGGAAATTACAAATGCCTAAATGAGGCATGAGCAAAATAAAAATTATTTACCGAGCTTAGTTTTGGCTGGAAATAATTTTACTATGTCCAGCACACTTATTTTTGTTTATTGTGAATTTTATTGGATTTATAGGAAAATGTTTGGTAATATTTTAAAAATCAAAACCTTTTTGTTATTTTAAAAAAAGAAAAAAGAAATCCTAGACTATATGGGCCAAATCCAGTCCATGACCCATTTCTCTTCATCTTCGCGCAAGAGCAACTTCACCTAAAGAAAACAGGTTGTAGCAGGGCCCAACCCAAATGACATCCTCCCTATCTCCCTTCCCTGCCTCACTGACGATTGAGCCCTACCCAAGGCATCATCCTCCTCCTCCGGTTGCTGATGTCAACCAACGAGAAAAACGACCCGCACCTCACCCCCTCTACCTCCCTGGCCCCACATGCTTCGAGAAGTCCCCCAATCCTCGCTCACGACCTCTTTCATCCTTAGTAAGCCATCGAGGCCACTCTAGTGGCCATTACGGCAAACCCGAAAAGGCTGCCACCAATTCCACCGTGAGCAGCTCCATCAACCTCCTCCCCTCTCCTATATAAACCACCCGAAGCATTGCACGCTGCTCCGAACCAATCGCCCTCTCGAAGAGGAAGCTTGTCTCCACTAGACGGTGAGCAATTGCTCATTAGAGTGTTGAATCGTTGTCGTCAACCGTGACCTCGCAACCGATGGACCAGAGGCCCTCCTCTTCTCCCCTTTCTCTTCATTTTTCAGAGGCTCGTCTCTGACTTCTTCGAGGATCAAAGCTGCCGATAATGCTCCAAAACATTTGTAGACACGGCAAAACAAAGGAAACAAAATAAATTACAAACTACGAATGCTCACAATGAAAAGAGTAAAAATCAGAAATCATGCATAATTGACATATACTTGGTTTGGTGCAGAGCTGGCCATCCGAGCCGTGCCTGTCAGGCTAGCCCGTTAGCACGGTGCCACGACACGAGATTGGCCTGGCCTGGCACGGGCTAATCGAACTGTGCCAGGCATGCCATGGGCCATGCTTGGGCCACTAGGCTGAGCATGCCGGGCAGCACACGACCAGTTTATCTTTTTATCTTTTTATATTTCTTGTATATATGGCCTATAACTAGCCCAATAGGTTAAATTGGCCCAAAAATAGCCCAACAAGCCAATAACACATGAGCCTACATGGCTAGCACGCCGATGGTTTGACCCTATTAGTAAAGGGGTTGTGCCTGGGCGTGAAGGCGCCCACGTGCACGACACACCCGTCTATTAACCGTGCCCCTGTGGGTCGTGCCGTGCCAGCCTGTTTGGACAACTTTGGTTCAATGAGGCATAATATATGGAGATAACATGCAATAAATGGGCTCTAAAATTCGTAAAATATAGAGCCACCGGTTTGTGACCTTCTCAGTCATGTAGTCATTAGGGGTGTTAAATGTGACAAGCAAGTTGGCCCATCCAGTCGTTATGGCCTGATGTCCAAGGATAATTCTATGGAAGGGTGCATTGACATGTATCATTCAGGAGCACATGATCCCCATATTGTCGAGGGTGTCCATTTAGGATATTGAAATCTCTATTGTCGTCCATTAGTGTTTTCGTAAGCTGAACTCCAATAATGATGCGACCAAGGACTAGGGGTGATGGTGCCATACATCGGGGCACCCGACCTTCGGGGAACAAGGTCGCTAGGCCTGCCTCGGAGCTCGGACATAGCCTAGGCCCCTCGCCACTAACGGTGGGCTTCTTCCAGAAGGATATACATTAATCGTACCACAATACATGTACTCTGGTAGAAAACTTGGGTGCCAAGCCATGTAACATGACTTGGGCACTTGTAACCCTAGCCCTAACCCATCTATATAAGGGGAGGTAGGGGCCTCCCAAGTCGGCATCTATCATCTCCTCATCTCTTCACAACAGAAACACAATCAATACACTCATATATGCAGGATCTAGGGTATTACTCCACCATGGAGGCCCGAACCTGGGTAAATCCGTGTCTTATGTGTACCCCCAATCCGATCCTCTATGCGCACTCCGCCCCATGAGGAACCCTATGCAGGGATCTGACGGAATTTCGCTCCGTCAGTTGGCGTGCCAGGTAGGGGCTGGTGTGCATAGATACTATGTTCAAATGGGATTCTTCATCAACATCAACTTCAACCTCAATCAAGATCATGGAGAATCTTCCATGGAGGTCAAGGGCTCAACGTCAACATGGCCTTGTGACCTACAGAATTTCCCAGACAACATATCCGTTTTCATCGTCCCCATCTCATCGAGCATCGGTTTGACGTTTCCTTCAGAGAGATTGTGTGGAATTACGTCTACAACAACCCCTCAAAATTTCAACACGACCCGATCTGCGAGTCTCCAGCAATCTCCGAAATACCGAGATACTAACGAATTTGAATGAGAATCCATGCAAGCTCGGGGAAACGAGTCCAGCGGCCAACTCCGACATCCTTTGGAAGATCCAACAGTTGATCTCATGCAGGTGTGTGTTGTCAACAACCCATCAAAATTTCAGGCTGATCCGACCGTTCAAATCCGGGACGAGCCCAAAGAGTGCATCAAGGTATGCGTTAGTTTCCTGCGTGAAAATAGATCCGACCTGAGTTCATCCTTCTTCATGGACGAGCTATCAAACTTCATCGCATGGAGACCTTCACCACTCGAAGACCTCCTCGGTGGACCTCCATGTCGGGGATCTCCATCGTGCGGACCTCCATGGCATGGACCTTCTCCGCGGACCTCCTTCGCCCGGACCTCCATGGTGTAGACCTTCGGCGCCACGGACCTCCATGGCATGGACCTCCACTACAAGGACCTTCATGGTGCAGAACTTCGGCGCCACAAACCTCCTCTGCTAGATGTCTACCGTCGGCCTCCTCACGCCAACCTAATCTTCATGCGTGGACCTCCTCCGTGGGAGGTCTACCGTCGACCTCCTCGCATTGACCTCATCTTCACCGCACGGACCTCCTCAGCCGGAGGTCTCACCGCACGAGCCCATCGTGTGGCTGTCAATCTGCAAACCTCGCAAGAACCGGCTCGAGGGCACTGTCTCACCGTTTACAACCAGGTGCTATCTATCTAATCATTCAACCATATGTATTACTATGACAAATAATGTCGATGTCTGTGGGTACTACTTTCTGTAGATAAATCAACTATGCTCCTATTGCATCGTTGGTTCGCCGCTCATGCCTCATCACTCGACGGACTCAGGCTACACCACACGAGCTTCCACGCGTGAACTGCTACTTGTGAACTGCGTTGGGATTTTCCCCAAAGAGGAAAGGTGAAGCAATATAGTAGCAGATAAGTATTTCCCTCAGTGAGAATCAAGGTTATCGAACCAATAGGAGAACCAAGCAAATCCTAGTCAAACAACACCTGCACACACAAGAGCAAATACTTGCACCTAACGTTGGCAAGAGAATCGTCAATCTGCTTGAACTTGTTACTTGCAAGGATTAAATCTGGTAGTGGTAGATAGATAAATTGCAAAGTAAAATAAAAGTAAATAAATTGCAGCAAGGTATATTTGATTTTTGTAATATGATAAAAGTAGACCGGGGGCCATAGTTTTTGTTGGGAAACGTAGCATGCAATTTCAAAAAAAAATCCTACGCTCACACAAGATCTATCTAGGAGATGCATAGCAACGAGAGGGGGAGAGTGTGTCTACGTACCCTCGTAGACCGAAAGCGGAAGCGTTTGGCAACGCGGTTGATGTAGTCGAACTTCTTCTAGATCCGACCGATCAAGCACCGAACGTACGACACCTTCGAGTTCTGCACATGTTCAGCGCGATGACGTCCCTCGCCTTCTTGATCCAGCAAGGTGTCGAGGAAGTAGATGAGTTCCATCAACACGACGTCGATGACAGTGACGGTGAAGTGATCTGCGCTGGACTTCGCCTAAGCACCATGAGAATATGACCGGGGGTGTAAACTGTGGAGGGGGCGCCGCGCACGGCTAACAATTGATGTTATTTGTTCTAGGTGCCCTCTCCCCACATATATATAGGTGGGAGGGGGAGGGGAGGCATCCAAGGGCGCCCTAGGGTTGGCCGCCGCCCCCTAGGGGCCCTGCCTTGCCCCGCGCCCCCCTTTCCATGTATGCATGAAGGGGAAGGAAAGAGGGGGGGGGGTGAGGGAAGGAAGTGGGAATCCTAATCCACACTTTCCTTCCCTTCTCCCCTTTCCTTCTCCCCCCTATAGCCTTATATGGCGCACCAGCCCCTTGTGGACTGGTGTGTTCCTTCACAAGGCCCTTATGGCCCATAGGATTGTCGGGGGTACCCGAAACACCTTCCGGTGACCCGATACCCTCCGAAACACTTCCAGTGTTTGAATACCATCGTCC